AACTTTGTAGGATTTGTCCTTTAAAAGGGTACCCAAATGAAAAAGAAATTCAGTGTAAAGGACCTTTCTTTTTCACTTTGAGTACCTAGTATTTGAAATGCCTCACTTTTAAAGGACTTCTTAAAAGAAATTCCCTTTAGGTACCTGGTATCAATATAAATAAAGCCAGTAGAGTAAAAAAGAAAAGTTTATGGAAAGTGTCATATATTGTACAATACAGAGTTTACAGAAAAGTAATGGTGGCCAGGCCCCACCGGAAAAAAATATGGATTCTAATCATATTAAATGATGCAAGTCTTAAAAGTAATGCATTTCATCTTCATCCTCATCTTCAAGCTCTTCTCTGGATCATCTCCCTTTGGATCATCTTCTTCTAACTTCGTATGATTCATCCTTCAGAAGGGTACTCAAATAAAAAAGAAATTTCTTATGAAGGGCCTTTCTTTTTAACTTTGGGTACCTGATATTTGAAGTACCTCACTTTTAAAGGACTTTCATAATTCAATTATATTACAATTTATTAATTGCATCATTGAAAGAGAAAATATATACTCTACTGTATGGTTATCCTAAATAGTTAAATAGAAAATTCAAACAGTCATATATGAAAAATAAAATACACATAGCCAATCACACTTGGCCATGCTCTTATTTTTTGGGGCTAAGCAGCCGAAGCACCTTTACAAAGCAATTATATATAAACAAAGTTTTTATTTATCATTTTGGCCCTCTTTATTTTAGCGCTGCATGAGCATGATCACCTGTAGAAAATAACGTCAGTATCAAGATCGCCCATAACTTATGGGCAATCTATCATGCATATCATGTTATAAATAAAGTGCAATAATAAGATAGACATCAAAATAATCACATCAAGTCAAAGTTAATATCATATATGCCACATGCAAGAACGTCACAATATAGAAAATAGAAAAAAGAAAATCACCAGCCTAACCTAAAGCTAGAAGTTGTGCCATAGCAAACAATTCTATGTGAGTGTAGTAGGCTTGTGTGGCTTTGGATATGTTCTATGTCAGTTATCTAGTTCAAGTTATTTTATGTTCGAGTTTATTGGAGGCCGACATGGGAACTTTGATTAAGGTTTAAATATTAATGAATTGGAGTCCATTTAGTTAATTTAATTGGTTTGTCAGTTTTAACACTTAAAACAATATTCTTTGAAGTTTAAGTTGAGTTAGCAGATTTTAGAAGGTCCAAGGTCATCCTATCCGTTAGGTTAAAGGATCCAAAAGGTCACTTTAGAAATAGGTTAGTTTTAGGAGTTCTAGCATTTTTATTAAATATTAGATCTTATAAGGAGTAATTAGACTTTAAGCTTGTTGGATTTAGAGTTTTCTAGGTAAAGTTATGAATTTTAGAAGTTTTGGGCCCTAGTTAATGAACTACGGTTGACCGGAGAGTTGACTTTTTAATTTAAGAAGTTTATAGAAACCTAATATTTTTAATAAATACTAGATTTTAATTAGAGTTGAATGCCTTTTATTTTCACCAATTTGGATTTTTTGGAATTAGTTATGCTTTTTTAAAGTTCAGGTATTTAGTGAATTATTAAAATTGTTTAATAAAGGGTGTCTTAGGGAGTTTTGATCCAATTCAGTTTCAAATATCCTAGAATCACCCCCAAAGGTTAGGAATAATCTAAAGAAATGTTCTCAAGTATTTGGAAAATTTTTTGGATTTTTAATAATTTTTAATTATTTAACTTAATTAAAAGAGTGATTTTTAGTCAAAATTAAATTAAAGTTCATATTGAGGTCTAATTAAGTTGATTTTAATTTTTTTTTAAGATTGAGACTTAAATTTTAAAGAATTTACTATATTATGGGTAATTTTTAAATTTAATTTGAATTTATTAAAATTTTCTGAAGTTATCGGGGCTTAATTAAGGGGTTCAATTAGGGTTTATTAATTAAGGGGTTTAAAAGGTTCTAAATTTTTTTTAGAAATTTCTGGAAGGTTTAGGGTGCCATTAAGTTTAAGGGTTCTAAGTTTTATATCAATCGGAGGTGCACCCTAGCTCCTATAATTTCTCTAAGTTCACTAGACAGGTTTTTAATTATTATCCTTAAGGTGTTGCTAAGTAATGTAGGTTTGAATAGAATGTTTGAGACTAACCCTTCAGATAACTCAAAGGAAAATGTAACAAAATATAAGCACACCATGTCCTTAGATGTAGGAGAGTCTAAGCTAGTACTCGTGAGTCCTATACATGCAAAAGATGATTAAACAGTAATTGAACGAAATTAATAATGTAACTAGCTTGTGGATTATTGGAGCCCAATCACCACTAATCCTTCTCCCATGAAT